TCTACCTTTATCTCTACAGAGAGAAGACTATTTGTGATATTACAAATAACCAATATGTACACTACCGTTCAAAAGTTTGGGGTCAGACTCAGAACGATTTTTGCCAAGATTGTGTATTTGATTAAAATTACAGTAAAAACAGAAATATTGTGAAATATTCTAATTTAAAGTAGCATTTGCATTTTTAATAAATTTAATTACATTTTCAGCATCATTATTCCAGTCTTCAGTGTCACATGATCCTTCAGAAATCATCCTAATATGCTGATTTTGCTGCTCAAGAAACGTTTATTCTTCTTCATATTTATCAGTTATTATCATGATACATTTATAAGGATAATTGATGAATATGAAGTTTAAAAGAACAGCATTTATTTGAAATAGAAGTGTTTTGTAAAATTATAAATGTCTTTACTGTCAGTTTGATCGATTTGATGCATTCTTGCTGAATAAAATAATCTTTTTTTTTTTTTTTTGAAATTGCATGTGAATTTCACATGCAATTTGCACATGCAATGTTAAGAAAGACTTAGGCTGTGTTCAAAAAGCATGCATACTATGCATACTATTTCTGTAGCATGCATACTGAGTACAAAATGGAAATTGCCAGTTTGCACAGAATGCCTACTGTATTTGTCAAAAAGTGTAGTACACAACAGATCCCGTTGCGCTGGATACTGTACCCTACAATGCAATGCACTTGTGAAGTAATGTTTTTTTTTACTTCGTTCTTGATTCATCATTTGAACAGACTGCCAAAATTAAGACTTTATTAAACAGACTTGATAATTCATTTTGGACATAAGTGAACTCTACAAGCTAAATTGGCATGCAAGGTTTCAAATGCCTTTAAAAAAAATTATATTTAAATGGAACCAAAATGAAGATGGTTAAAAGAAATTGCTTGTTTTATTTAAACAATGTTTTGTTTGGTTTCTTAATGGAACAAAAATGGAGATAAAAAGATTGTGATTGTGAATCTCCAAAATCCACATGAAAGTAAAGCATAATAAAAAGTCTAATGATTTATACTATATCTAGACTATATTCCAAGTCTTCTGAAATCATACGACAGCTCAAAATAGCAAAGGAACAGGCTAAAATGGAAGTTTCCGGCTTTCAAATGAAATGTAATTGAAATATGTGGCCCTGGAGCACAAAAGCAGTCTTAAGTCGCTGGGGTATATTTGTAGCAACAGCCAAAAAAACATTGTATGGGTCAAAATTATAGATTTTTTTTTATGGCAAAAATCATTAGGATATTAAGTAAAGATCATGTTCCATGAAGATATTTTGTAAATTCCCTACCGTAAATATATCAAAACTTAATTTTTGATTAGTAATATGCATTGCTAAGAACTTCATTTGGACAACTTTAAAGATGATTTTCTCAATATTTAGATTTTTTTTTGCACCCTCAGATTCCAGATTTTCAAATAGTTGTATCTCGGCCAAATATTGTCCTATCCTAACAAACCATACATCAATGGAAAGCTTATTTATTCAGCTTTCATATGATGTATAAATCTCATGACTGGTTTTGTGGTCCTGGGTCACATATAGTCACCGTGGCATATTTGAATGTGTCATTTGTTTTTCACAGATATGACACAAGTGGATAGTGAGGCGAAGCAAATTGCTGTAAAAACCCAAAAAGACCTTGACATGTACGCCAGGAATGGATTACGGACGCTGTGCTTTGCCAAAAAGGTAGAAGTTCTGTAGAGATCGTTGTAGTAAGACTAAATGTGTTGAGCAGTGGTGCTGATGGAAAGCTGTGTGTTTTTCTCTGAAGGTCATCAGTGAGCAGGAGTTCAGGGCCTGGTCTGCTGTCAGACAGGAGGCGCTGTCAGCCATGGATGAGAAAGAGGAGCGTCTCATGGAAACCGCAAACTTCATCGAGAGCAACTTCACTCTGCTGGGTACAGTCTGCGCTCCCTTCATGTGCCACTGATGATTGTCACTCTTAAAAATAAAGCCTCCAAAAGGGGGATTTTTTTGCAGCAGGGCCACAGAAGAACTATTTGGGGTTTCCCAGAAACCCTTTCAGTGAACACTTCGTACAAGAACCATTTTTTTCTTAGTGTGAAGAGGATGTTAATTAAAAAAATGTAAGAAACAAGGTTCTTTTCTTTTTCCACTGTAAAGAACCTATGGAAGCTTGTTTTTTTGTTCTTGCTATTGTGAGTTAATATCGTGCAGTTCTGACTTTTTTCTCTGAATTCTGAGTTTACATCAAATCTGTTTTTTTTTCTGCCACGGAATAAAAAATTGCGACTTTTTATCTCACAATTTTGACCTTTTTTTCTCTGAATTCTGAGTTCACATCTTGCATTTCTGTCTGTTTGTTTTTTTGTTTTTTGTTTCGTTTGTTTCTGCCATGGAATAAAAAAAAATCTAAGTTAATTGTGACTTTTCATCTCACAATTCTGACTTCTGAGTTTACATCTCAAAGGTTTGATGTTTTGTTTTTGTTTTCTTTGCTCTGAATTCTGAGTTTACATCTAGCAATTCAGTTTTATTGTTTCTGCCATGGATATGTGAAAAATAATGTGTTTTTCGAACAACCTAGTATGAGAGCCTGTTCTAGTACACCTCCAAAACAAAATCAAGACTTTGTAAAAGAGCATAATAGGACCCCTTTAAAAAAAATCTAGGTAATTGCAACTTTTTATCTCACAATTCCATGCCTCACAATTCACACGCCATGGAATAAAAAAATCGGTAACACTTTATTTCGATAGTCCACTTTAGACATTCTATTAACAGTAAGTAACTTTGCAACTACATGTCAACTAGCAGTTAGTAGAGTATTAGTAGACTGTCTGCTTAATATCTTCTAACACTTTCTTTGTCAACATTCTACTAACCCTAAACCTACCCTGTCTACTCTGAGAGTTAGTAGACATGTAGTTGCAAATTAATGAGAATTAGTTGACATGTAGTTGACATGTAGTTACAAAGTTACTTATAGTTAATAGAATGTCTAAAGTGGACTATCGAATAAAGTGTAACCAAAAAATCAGTTAATAGTGACATTTTTTCTCGCAAATGTGAGTTTACAATACATCTCGCAATTCTGTTTTATTGATTCTTCCACAATATATATATATATGTATACATAAAAAAGGTAATCGTGACCTTTTCTTAGACAATTCTGAGTTTTTTCCCCACTATTGCGAGTTTATATCTGTCATTTCGGTCCTTTTTCCCCTAGAATTCAGTTTACTTCTTGCAGTTCTGACTTTTTCCCCAAAAATTTCCCCAAGTTTGTATTTCACAACTTTTTTTTTCCACAATTGCAAATTAATTCCTCACAATTCTGCGACTTTATTCTCAGAATTGTGATAAAAGTCAGAATTGTGGATAAAAACACAGAATTATCTTTTTTTTTTTTCCTATCCCATGGCGGAAACAAGATGACCTTTTGTACAATGGAAATGTTCAATTAATGTTAAATGTTCTTCACAGAATCATAAGTGCTAGTAAAGAATCTTCATTTTTAAAGGGGACATCGGATGCCCACTTTACACAAGTTGTTATGATTATTTAGGGTCTTCATGAAATGTCTGTAACACACTTTGGATAAAATTCCTCAATGGTTGTGTAAAACAACACCCTTTTTACCTTGCCAAAAACAGCTCTGTACACAGCAACCTGATTCGGTGCATGTCTCTTTAAATGCTAATGAGCTCTGCTGACCCCGCCCCCTATTCCATAGAAGGAGGCATTGTTGTCGCTACAGCTGCTCGAGCGCCAAGAAAATTGCAGACAGCGTACAACTGGCTGAGGGCGGAGATATGCAAATACGGGACAGTCCGTCAGCGGTCGTGGGCAGGGCCTGCACAGTATGATGTCATAGTGCGCAGAAAATCAAAACGGCTTGATTATTGAGCCTGTTTAGGTTTTTTGGTGTTTAAAAAAAGTAGTGAATGGATTTTTATCATTGTAGGGTTTATACGTTTATACATTTAAATGCAAACACCATGTAAAAGTGAATTTTGCATCCGATGTCCCCTTTAAGAGTGTAATCATAAGACAACATTCAAAGTCACAGTTTCGGGAAGTGAAATGTAAACTGACCTTCTGGAGTCTCCCACAGGGGCCACCGGCATTGAGGACCGTCTCCAAGAAAGTGTCCCAGAAACCATCCAGGCTCTGAGACGAGCTGGCATGCAGTTATGGGTGCTGACAGGGGACAAACCCGAGACGGCCATCAACATCGCATACTCCTGCAAGCTGCTCGAGCATGAGGACCTGGTGTTCACCTTCAGCACCAACAGGAAGGTACTTCAGTCTGCTAGTCAGTGCCAACTAACTAATGCTTCTGTAACTGAACAGAGTTTGACCTGTGTTAGTCAACCAGCTTCATCAGAAAAATTAGGTTGGTGAACAGCATCACGTTTGTACAACGGTGTTTTAGTGCCACGTAAAGAAATAAAAAAATTAATAAATCTAATATTTTGAGAATAAAGTCAAAATTACGAGAAAAACGTCATAGCAATATGAGATTAAATTCTTAATTATTTTGAGAATAAAGTCGTAGCATTCAATACATGTGAAGAATGAAAAGTTGGACTCCACAGACGGTTTTTGTGGAGCAGGTGGAATTTTCACATTATTTAACTATAGTCAAGCAATATACTACTTTATTCTCAAAATATTACGACAATTAATCTCGTATCGCTATGACTTTATTCTCATAATTTTGGCTTTATTCTCAAAATATTATGACTTTAATCTCATATTGCTCGTAATTTTCTCGTAATTTTGACTTTATTCTCAAAATATTACGAATTTAATCTCATAATGATACGACTTTATTCTCAAAATATTATGAATTTAATCTCATAATGCCACGACTTTATTCTCAAAATATTAAAAATTTTATCTCATATTGCTTGTAATATTCTCGTAATTTTGACTTTATTCTCAAAATATTATGAATTTAATCTCATATTGCTATGACTTTATTCTCAAAATATTACCAATTTATTCTCATATTGCTCATAATTTTCTCATAATTTTGACTTTATTCTTAAAATGTTACGAATTTAATCTCATATAGCTACGACTTTATTCTCAAAATATTCAGACTTTAATCTCATATTGCTCATAATTTTCTCGTTATTTTGGCTTTATTCTCAAAATGTTATGAATTTAATCTCATATTGCTACGACTTTATTCTCAAAATATTACCAATTTAATCTCTATCGGCGTACATTAGCATTCTTAAACCGATATCTCAGTAAGAGCATGTTGAATATTTGTCATGTGTTGCGTGTGCATCTTGTTTGGGATTTAAAACACTGAACCCGCACAAAAGGAAAAGGGTTAATTGGTTTCTCTGGGACGACAGAGGCTTCAATGTTACACAGTTGCATCCCCTCAAGAGTGAAGTTCTCCATAGCGTGTTCAAACACACAAACGCGCTTGCAACAATTTGTCAGATATGCTGTTTTTCATTTCATGTCTGCCTGAGTCTGTGTTTAAGAGCGCTGAGAAAAAGAGCATTCACCGTTCTGAATGGCTCATATCACTGCTCTGTAATCTCATTTTCACACTTCTGAGGAGGGCAGGAAACCGTTCTAGTTTCATTTCAACATTAAATCTCCTCCCGAAGACTTCCACATATTGTTTTACACACATTTTATGAAATGCCTCATTTTGTGCATCTAAAACCTTCACTTTCCGTTGTCCTAGTTTTTCATGTGGTACAAGATCATTTATCACCATCTTATATCTTAGTTTATTCCCTAAATCTGTGTGGAAATGAGAGAATCATAAGCCATTTATGTAACATAGTGAAATGGGCAACAACTGAAATTTCATTTAGGCATAACCCAGATATATTCTCAAACCAGTCGTGTTAAAACATATAGCAGCGGTGCCAGACTGAAAAGTATGTGGATGTGACTTCACGACATGATGATGTCTCAACTCATGAATATTAATTAGATCATGATGTCATTGCAAGATAACATGTCCATTCACGTAATCTCATTTAGGAGAACAACTGTGATGTTTTTGTCTTGTCTACAATGTTAGTCTGTTATCTCTAATATCATTTAGACTAAAAATGGATAGAGAAAGAATAAATTAAATGATAGGTACCCCACCGAGTCAATAAGATTTTTTTTTTTAAAGAAATAAATACTTTTTTTTTTTTAGCAAGGATGCATTAAATTGATTAAAAGTGCCAGTAAAGACATGTACAATGTTACAAAAGATTTCTGTTTCAAATAAATGCTGTTCTTTTGAACCTTCTATTCATCAAAGAGTCCTGAAAAATAAAATGTATCACAGTTTTCACAAAAATATGAAGCAGCACACCTGTTTTCAACATTGATAATAATCAGAAATGTTTCTTGAGCAGCAAATCAGCATATTAGAATGATTTCTGAAGATCATGTGACACTGAAGACTGGAGTAATGATGCTGAAAATACAGCTGCGCATCACAGAAATAAATTACATTTTAATATATATTCACATAGAAAACAGCTATTTTAAATTCTAATAATATTTCACAATTTTCACTATATTTTTGATTATATAAATGCAGCCTTGGTGAGTATAAAACATAAAAAAAAAATTGACTGGTGGTGTAAACTAAATTACCAGTTTATTACATTCATTATCATGTAAAAGCAGATGTGTTTTAAAAACATGCAACAAAAATAGTGTTTATATACTAACGCAGTCTCTGTTATATGTCAGTCTGTGTGTAAAATGAGGCTGGAAGACACACTGGGAGAGCTGCGACGGAGCACGCTGGCACCCGGAGCGGACCATCAGTTCAGGGGTTACAACTCAGCGTTTACTGGCCCACTGACGGAGCCCAGTATCGGGCTGGTGATAGACGGGCCGACTCTGAGCATGGCCATGTCAGACGAGCTGGTGGAGCAGTTTGTGGAGCTCTGCAAACACTGTCGTGCGGTGCTTTGCTGTCGAGTGACGCCGCTGCAGAAGAGCGCCGTGGTTAAACTCATTCGGCAGAAACTGAGGGTCATGACCCTCGCCGTAGGTAATGAAACCTTCGATTTGAGGCGGAGGGCTTTCTGAAATCATTTATAAGATTACTTTTCCGCAGGTTCGTGAAGTGCATTGGTTTTCTGTCGCGATACATTATGATTTGTGTCGATGCAGGTGACGGCGCCAATGATGTGAACATGATTCAAGCTGCAGACGTTGGCATTGGAGTTTCTGGACAGGAGGGGATGCAGGTTTGTGTTTTCGTGTTTTATAACTCACTCCCAGGTGAAGATAAAGCACTGCAATTATGTATCAATCCAAAAAAAAACAAAAAACATGAACACTGACACAGAAGCTAGGATAGGTGTGGTATGTGTCATTATTACATTATTAATATTACTATTGTTATTACATAATCATTATTATTATTATTGATATTACTGTTGCCGTCATCACAGGGTATTATTGCTATCATCACCATCTTTAGTATTATTATTATTATTATTATGCATGCTAGTACTACTTAAATACTATACTACTATTATTCAGATTGTCATTGCTGTTTATTTTCATTGCTGTTCTACTGCTGTTTTTGTGTTTTGTGTTCACCGTATGTTGTATGTTTTGCACTCTTAATAAAAAAAAAAGGGGAAAAAAATCAATAAAACCATACTTTTTAAAGAGTTTTTTTTCCTGATTGACTAGTTCAGGAATGTTTTACGTCAGCATGAAAAGGAAATTGTGACTGTTTTTCTTACCGATTGTGACACATGTCTGAATGAAACGGCTTCTCGCATAAGAAAAAGTGGGGCGGGGCTTGATTTTGTCCAATCAAAAATTGGGGGAGGGGCATGTTATCCTATTTAAATGAGAGATTTCCAGGTCACTGTTTTTTGTTTTGTTTTTTTAACCCTCATGTGGTGTTCGGGTCCTTTTTGCTCTGTAACCTCGTAAGTGTGACAGGGTTCTGAACACAACACAAGGGTTAATAATTAAGGATGTGCACAAATAAATCATATGAAACTAAATTCGTAATATTTTGAGAATAAAGTCAAAATAATGAGAATAAAGTCGTAGCAATATGAGATTAAATGAGCATGAGCATTTTAATGATGAGCATTTTAAAATGTAATATAATCTAATTACAAATACTTAATTTTTTGGAATCTGATTACATAATCCAGATTATATTTAATCCGTTACTACCCAGCACTGTCTACTAACCCTAACCCTAACCTAACAGTCTAATACTGTAATGAGCATCAGTCAAAATGTATTTGCAAAGTTACTTATCGTTAGTAGAATGTCTGAAGTGGACTATCGAAACCATAAAGAATGAGTGTAACCAGTAATGCTGATTTCATGCTGAGTTGTGTTTGTGTTCTGCAGGCTGTCATGGCCAGTGATTTTGCCATCACGCGCTTCAAACACCTGCAAAGACTGCTGCTGGTTCACGGACACTGGTGCTACTCGAGACTGGCCAACATGGTCATCTATTTCTTCTACAAGAATGTGGTAATTATCACCATGGCAACCAAATTTGTTACATTCAATTTAAGTAATTAGTGGTGTCAAAGCAGCTTTACAGTGTTACACAGGAAAATAATGTTTCAATGATGCAAATTCTGCCGTAAAGCAGCTCTAAAAAGAGGACAATAGTAACACTTTGTATCTTTGATACATTTGTATCGTTTCCTTACAAATGTATCAAAGTGTTGCCAACGTGTCAAAAAAAATTGTTGTAACCTACATTGTGTCACGATGTCACACACACACACGAGGGGACGCTGGAAAATGCTTTTAACAGGACTTTATTGGAACCAAGGGAGACTTTTTATACACACAGGAGGAGGGGCTGACGAGACACACCTGGGATCAATGGAAATTAAACATGGGAAACACCTGGGAAGAAATCAACTAAATCAGGACAGGAACAGGAAACAACCCAAATATGGGCATCGGAAGGCACATGGGGAGCAAGACACACACAAAACATGGAACAGAGTCTGACACATTGCTGTTCAAAAGTTTGGAGTTTTATTTATTATTTAAAGTAATAATACTTTAATAGAGAAAGGACACATTTAATTGTTATGCAAGATGTTTCCGCCACTGAATAAAAAATAAATGTATCAATTTTTTCTCAGAATTCAGAGATATAAACTCGCAGTTGCGAGTTATAAAGTCAGAATTGCATGATATAAAGTCGCAATTGTGAGAAAAAAAATCAGAATTGCGAGATATAAACTAATAAATGTTATATCTTACAATTCTGACTCTATAACATGCAATTGTGAGTTATAGTCAGTTCTTTTTTTCCTCTAAATTGGTCTTTATAACTTGCAATTGCGAATTTATATCTCACAATTCTGAGAAAAGAAGTCAGAACTGCAAGAAAAAAGTCTGAATAGTGAGATAAAAAGTCGCAATAGCCTTTTTAAATTTCTTATTCAGTGGCAGAAACAGGCTTCCATGAATTGTCATTAAAGGTTTCTATTTCAAATTAATTCTTTTTTAAACTTTCTATTTATTATAGAATTTCGGTTTCTACAAAAATATTGAGCAGCATAACTGTTTTCAGACTGGAGTAATGATGCTGAACGAACAAACTGCTTTGCCATCGCAGGAATACATTACTTTTTAAAATACATGCAAATAGAACAGTTATTTTAAATTGTAATAATATTTCACAATATTATTTGTGGTCAAATAAATGCAGCCTTGGTGCACATTAGAGACTTCTGAATGGTTGTGCACAGTGACTGTAAAAAGTCATTAGTTTATTTCATGAACCTATATTGTAGTAAATAGTTTTCTGTTCCATCAGTTCATCAAAACCCTTCTGATGAAATCTGATGAATTAACACCAGCACTCACTATCTAACCTGTGTCGTCTCACGCAGGCGTACGTGAATCTGCTGTTCTGGTATCAGTTCTTCTGCGGCTTCTCTGCCACAGCCATGATCGACTACTGGCTCATGATATTTTTCAACCTGTTCTTCACCTCTGCTCCTCCCATCATGTTTGGGATCATGGACAAAGAGGTGTCAGACTCCACGTTACTGAGCCTGCCTGAGCTCTATAAGAGAGGACAGCACTCGGAGGTGAGCAGTCCTGCGGTCACGGATGACAGTCTATCATTGCTCTAGTACTATATCAACTCAATCTGGTATAACTACGATTTTTTTTTCTCGTAATAAAAATAAATGAAGATAGAAGTTTTATTCAACTATGGCAGTTCTAATTAGTTTCTAAATGCATTCAAAACAAATACCATAGTTTGTTTTATAGAAACCATGGTTACAAGCATAGAAACATGTAGTTTCTATAAATATCACAGTTAGACTATAGTTGCTATGCAAGACCTTTGGTCATGGAACTACATGTCAACTAGCAGTAATTAGAGTATTAGTAGACTGTCTGCTTAATATCTTCTAACACTTTATTTTGATGGGTCCACAACATACAACATACTGACTATAAGAAACTTTGCAAGTATATGTCAACATATTCTACTAACCCTAAACCTACCCTAACAGTCTACTCTGAGAGTTAGTAGACATGTAGCAGCAAATTAATGAGAATTAGTTGACATGTAGTTGACATGTAGTTACAAAGTTACTTATAGTTAATAGAATGTCTAAAGTGGACTATCAAAATAAAGTGTAACCCCAGAATATTTTGTTGTATAAATGTGACCCTGAAGCACAAAACCAGTCATAAGAGTCAATTTTTCGAAATTGAGATCATCTGAAAGCTGAATAAATAAGCTTGATAAATAAAAAACAAATACAATTGTTGGCTATTGCTACAAATATACCCCAGCGACTTAAGACTGCTTTTGTGCTGCAGGGTCACATATATCTGAACATGCAATATGTCAAAAGTAGGAACAGAGCCTCTGCTTTTAAACAAAACAAACCGTTTGATTCTAGCTTCATGCATTCTTTTTAATCAACACCTGAATGTGGGTAAATTTCACAAAAAAAGCAACATTTCGAACAAAAAGCTGAGAAAATCGTGTTTTTTGTCAAAGACTACGTCTGGGTCAGATTTAGAACGATGATCTAAACATAGATGGAGTCGATCGCTTCATCAACACTCTCAAAGCTTCACAGTCCTAAACGGCTTCCAGGGTCGACATTTCGTTCGGTAACATTAGGCAGTTTTTATTTATATGCTGTTTGCTGATTGCGTTATTTTACATATGCATCTGCTTACATACACGATCGCCTGTTTCTGCTTCTTCTTCGCCCGTGTTTTGACCCAGAGATTCTGTACTCTTTCAGAAGATGTGTAATAGCGCCTCCTACTGTATAACAGTGAAAACACGGAAAGTTGGACATTTCCGTCAATGGCACGGAAAGAGTTAAAAATGGGTGAACCAGCCAATGGTTTTGCCTCACAGTTAACACATAGCTGTGAATATGACATTGTTGAAATATTTTGCTTTTAACTGAATATCGTTTGATTACAGGGCTACAGGCGTTCGACATTTTGGATTGCGATTCTCGATGCTTTCTATCAGAGTCTAGTGTGCTTCTTTATTCCATACTGGGTGAGAACATCTGTGCAGTCTCTCGTCTGTTTCTGTCATGTGTTTCGGAGTAACCTGTCATCTGATCACTGCTTTTGCTTTCTCAAGACGTACAATGGTTCAGACATCAGCATATTCGCGTTCGGCACTCCCATGAACACAGTGTCTCTGTTCACCATCATCCTGCATCTGGCCATTGAGATCAAGAGCTGGGTGAGTTTACTCTCCGCTTCATCACTGCACAAGACAATCACAAAGACATCACTGTCTTTACTGATTAACATTTAAAATAGATTCTTAAAAAAGACAATGCTCAGTTATATATATATATATATATTAAAGAAATTAATAATTTTATTCAGCAAGGATGCATTAAATTGATCAAAAGTGACAGTAAAGACATTTATAATGTTAAAACACTATTTCAAATAAATGCTGTTTTGAAAAAATGTATCACAAAAATATTAAGCATAAGATTGTTTCTTGAGTTGCAAATCAGCATATTAGAATGATTTCTGAAGATCATGTGACACTGAAGACTGGAGTAATGATGCTGAAAATACAGCTTTGATCAAATACATTTGAAAAGATATTCACATAGAAAAGAGTCATTTAAATTGTAATAATATTTTTTCCAATTTTTAGTTTTTACTGTACATTTGATCAAATAAATGCATGATGGTGAGACTTAAGAGACTTCTTTCAAAAACAATAACATTTTTACCGGTTGCTGGGTTATCATAGTTAAACTATTAAAAACATTCTGGCTAATCTGAAATAAATCTTAAAATAAAAACTTAAATATTAGATGAAAAACTAAACCACAGTTACTAAATGAAATAAGTTTACACTGAAGCAATAAAATTACTATCTTGAAATAAATAAAAAACTAAAACCAAAATTGAAATAAAAATAATAAAAATGACAAAAGCGCACAACAAAATTACTAAACATTTAACAAAAATTAAAATAATATACAAATTGCAGCTAATTCAAAACATTAATAAAATGATAGTATATAAAGGATACTAAAATAACACTGAAGTAGTGTACAATGACAGTAAATGTATCTTCTTCTAGTGTTTAACGACAATCAAATCTAACCTGTTTCTTTCTTCCGACGTTACTTTGACCGGGTGACAAATCATTAGGCATTTTATGACATAAAAGTTGATGTGTTAATATTTAAGTTATTATTTTTTGTCTCTTTAGAGGTTTTTAAGGTTACAGCATGTCTAAAATATTCTCCTTTATGTCAAAATATCAGTATTTTTCCTGAAACGCCCTCTTTTTGTCTGACGTGCAGACAGCGGTGCATTGGGTGATCATGATCGGCAGTGTGCTGGTGTACTTCATCGTGACTCTGGCCTACAGCGCCATCTGCATCAGCTGCAACCCTCCGTCTGACCCCTACTGGATCATGCACAAACAAATGGCCGACCCCATGTTCTACCTCGTCTGCATTTTAACAACAGTTGTTGCTTTACTACCAAGGTAACCGAAGTTAAGCGCTACCATTATGTGTAGCATTAGGGTTGGGCCAAAAATATCGGTTCACTCATTTGATGAACCGATATCAATTCTTAAAGGGACAGTTCACTCAAAAATTAAAATTAAGCTATCATTTACTCACCCTTGTGTTGTTCTAATGTTCTAATGTTGTGTTGTTCTAACAAATAAAACAAATAATTACATCCACTATTTAAATGCTGGCATTTCAACAACAAACTGGAGTAGAAAGATAATTATACAATTAAAGTTATTATAATAAATTTGGATTATGTGTGTGTGTGTATATATATATATATATATATATATCTGTGT